GGGGGGGGGGGAGACCTGGACCCTGTGGGGAGCTTTCTCTCCAGAGCTCTGGGTCCACTCCTCCACCCCAGCTGCTCTCACCTCCTTTCCTGGCAGGAGGGGGGGCGGAGGGGGTCACAGGAAATTGAGAGGAAAGGAGCCACTGAGGGTCACAAAGCCCTCTGGAAATGTCCCCACCCCACCCTCCTGCAGAAACAGGAAAGGAGCCCACCCTCCTGCCTGGGCCAGTGGGGCTTCCTCAGTCTGGGGGCTGGTGGATCTGGGGAGAGCAGGGGAAGGTGGGGGGTTAGGGGAAGTGAGCGCTGGGAGGGTGAAAAGAGGGGAAGAGGGAATGAGAAAGAAAGTGCAGGTGGGAGCTGTCAACCCCGGGGCTCTCGTCACAATGCCCAGTTTGGGTTCTTTCTTTTTTTTACCCTCACACGAGGATATTTTTTCCATTGCTTTTCTGAGAGAGTGGAAGGGGGAGAGAGAGGGAGAGAGAAACACGGGTGCGAGAGAGACACGTCCGCTGGCTGCCTCCCACACACGCCCCAGCCGGGGCCCGGGATCGAGCCTGCAACCCAGGTGCGTGCCCTTGGCCAGAATCGAACCCGAGACCCTTCAGCCCCCCAGCCGACGCTCTAACCACTGAGCCAAACCGGCCAGGGCTCTTTTTTTCTTTTTTTTTTAGGAAAAATTACTTTATTCTTTCTGTAAAAACAATAGATGGTCCTTATAAACAGTTTAAGCACTGCAGCAAAATACAAAAGAAAATAAAAGTATTACCTGCAAAGCACAAAAAGGAAATAAAAATACCCCAAGTGTCATCATTCAAATATAACCACCGTTAACATTTCCGCTGTGGCAGCCTGGGCAGATTCCCATGCGGTTTTACAGATAGAAGGGTGGAAATACTTTCATTAAAATGGGATTGTGCCATATGTCTATTTTTTTTTAATTTTTTTTTTTAGTGAAGATTTAATTTTACTTGATTCTAATTGAAGAAGATGAATCTGAAGGGAAACAGAAGAAATTCTTGAACTTCACAAACATTTCTTCACCACAAAGATATCCCGCCCCCTCTCCCGCCCAAGAGCCCTGCGAGTTTAAGAAAAGAGCCAGAGTGACATTTACACATAAATGTTCCTTTAGTCTCAGGGAATTATCACCAACATTCCTGCCCAGGACCGAAAGGGGGGTGACCGATCGGGGCCCCTCCAGCAGCACACTGCCCCTGGTCCTGGGGCCCGGTGACCGTCTAACCTGTCACGTGTGCACTGAACTCAACAACGTCACTCATGCACTGGGTCCAACAGTGGGAGCCAGACCGACAGCCGCAGGTGCCGGGTGTGGGCTGCACCTCCCTCCGGGACGGGGGTGCGCCTGGGCCTCGGGGGGCCCTGGGCTCACCGTCCTGGATCCTCTCTCCACGCGAAATAAACCCGAGGCTGGGACAGCCCCTTGTTGTCCTGTGAGGCTGAGTCACAAAATCTGAAGCTCGCTTGGGCGGCCTTGCAACACTATTTTTTTTTTTAATCTTCACCCGAGGATGTTTTTTCCATTGCTTTTCACAGAGAGAGTGGAAGGGGGAGAGAGAGACACACCGATGTGGCAGACGCATCGACTGGCTGCCGCCCGCACGAGCCCGAGCGGGCCGGAGACGGAGCCTGCGGCCGAGGTCCCTGCCCGTGGCCGGAACGGGACCCAGGGCCCTCAGTCTGCGGGCCGACGCTCTCACCGCGGCACCGTGCGTGTTTATTAACCACACGGGCACCGTGGGCCATGCCTTGCTGAGACACTGAGGACAGTACCGTTAGTCACTTGGTGGGTTACACTGTCGAGTTTTGTCGCACAGGTTCTGCTTTGTAACAGCACCCGCTTAGTTATTTAATATTCGTTCTCTGTCTGATGCATCTGCGGGTCGCCCCGTCGGCTTCCACTTCTCCATCCCCAAGCTCTAAGTTCCCTGTGCGGCGGGAACTGTACCTGCCCTGTTCCCACCCCCGCTTTTGCCATCCTGTGCACACTAAGGCTGACCAACCAGCTGGTGACAGCCTGGGTTTGCCCAGATCAGTCCCCATCCCAGGTGGAACCACATGGGCCGAGGCAGATGCATTACCTGGGCTGGGACGGGCTTTACTCAGTGGTTTCCTAACAGTGGCCGCATGCTGAGTCCCAGTGCCCAGACCTCTCCCAGCCCAGCAAAGCAGTCTCCAGCCAGGCCCAGGCATGGGGACTTCCTGTGTCCCATGGGAGTCCCATGTCCAGTGTAGGCTGAGAATCAGAGATGCAAACCCTCGCCAGCCCAGGGTCTAAAAACCTGTGAGGCAGGGGCGGTGCCACAGGACTGGTCCTGCAGAATTCCTGCCCTATCCGGCGCGCAGACCTCATAGTCTCCTACCACCTGCTGGTGGGAGGAAGGGGAGCGGGGAGCTGGGTCGGAAGCCCCTGAAGGGGCCAGGTACCTGCCTGCATTACTGCCACCTGCAGCTGCTGGAGGTGATGGCTGTTGGACTGATCCCCACATCCTCACATCTGCCACAGCTGCTCTAGAGACACCCTCCCCCAAACCCTACACACATACACACACATGCACACATGCACACATATGCATGCACATACAGGCATGCACACACCAACCCAGGGGAGGGAAAGCCTGACCCAGCAGCGAGGCCCCTGAAGACCCCTGACTCATACGCACCTCCCACCCCGTCTGCAAGGCCATCCATTGCAAAACCCTGGGGGGGGCAGGGTCATGGACCTCAGACTTCTGCGATGCACATTCAGGGACAAACATCCAAGGCACACAGGCTGAGAGCAAGGGACCTTGGGCATGGGCGATAAAGCAGAGACTGCGAGAGATCAGATACAGAGGTCGCTGAGCCACAGATGCCGAGAGATAGCAGGAGGCTCAGCAGAGCAGAAACCCCCAGCACCACTCAGGCTGGCAGAGGGTGTGGCCATCTGGGGACATTTAGGGGGGAGAGGCGATCTTGGGGGAGCCAGCACAGCTGCCTGTGAAGATGTGGCTGCATCCCTAGACCAATGACCTTGCCCTGGCCACCCCTAGTTCTCTGCTTGGCCCATCCCCCTTTCCCCACCCCATGCCTGGTTCTCCCTGGCAGTGGCCATGGTCTCCCAGCCCCTGGGGAGGGAAGCGGTGGGCACAGCTGCTGCTCCTGAGCTCCTGCCCGGCCCTCCCCAGGGCCTGGCCCTGGCTGGCTGTCCCTGAGTGAGGCACAGCCTGTCCTGCTGTTCCTCAGCTGGGGTACCCCCATCCTCCTGGCTCCGGTCCAAGCGCTTCACTGGCCCCCAAGGCCCCTGCTGAGCACAGGCCTGAGGAGTCCTGGCCTCCTAGCTGGCTCTGGCCACAGCCAATCTCTCTGGTGCCCCACCCTGAGTGGAGCTGCCTGGAAAGGGCCTGCAGAAAAGGAAAGCCCGGTGCCTCCCCCCATTTGTGGAGGCCGCTGGGATCAGACCGGCTGAGGTGTCCGAGCCTGACCGGGCTCCAGGGTCTCTTTTCGGTGCCAGATTGGTCAGGTTTGCATTAGGAACAAGGGCTCGGGGTGGCTTGCTCCGGTCCAGGCTCTCGACCACACCAGGGGACCAAGGCAGGAAGGTTAGCGGCCAATCCCTCTTCTATGGGTCTAATTCCCAAAGGGCAGGACCGTGGTCAGTAAGTATCTTTATTGGAAGAGAGATCCAGCCTCCTGGGCTCTGCGGGCGCCCTAGGTCATGAGGATTTCGATGTCCAGCTGCAGCTGGCTGGCTTTGACCTCGTAGCAGCCCTGGATCAGGCCTCGGGTCTGGCTGGCATGCCAGCGCCAGTGGGACTGGATGACGCAGGCCGCCTGCCGCGCCCGGAGGAACCGCCGGCGGGCCTGCCACATCCGCACCTGGGCCTGCACCTTCACCACCGCCCACTCCTGGCAGGTGTAGAGCCTCAGCGCCAGGCGCCGCCTCTGCTCCAGCATCCTGGCCTGCACCGAGCGCCACCAGCACTGGATGACCCAGGCCCGGAGCGCCCCGTGCAGCAGCGTCCGGCGCACCCTGTTGCCACGCCACCAGGCCTGGACCTTGACGGCTGCCTTCTCGAGCCGGTGCAGGGAAGGAAGGACACGGAGATGCCCCGTGAGGTCCCCTCCTAGCGCCGTCCCCGTCTCCTTTCTAAGTCCCACCCATCTTCTTTTAAATTTTTTTTTAAAATATATCTTTATTGATTTCAGAGAGAGGAAGGGAGAGGGAGAGAGAGAGAGAGAAACATCAGTGATGAGAGAGTCACTGATGGAGCCCACAACCCGGGCATGTGCCCTGATCAGGAATCGAACCCTGATCGCCTGGATCCCAGGCCGATGCTCAACCTCTGAGCCACGCCCGGCTGGGCTTATTTTAAAATTTTATTTATTTTTTTGTTAATCTTCACCGAAGGGTGTTTTTTCCATTGATTTTTAGAAAGAAAGGGAGGGAGAGAAACATCCCTGTGAGAGACACACATCGATTGGTTGCCTCCCACGTGCACCGGGACCAGGCCAGGGATCCAACCTGCAACCCAGGTGTGTGCCCTTGACCCGGAGTCGAGTCCCCACCCCGTCGGTACGCAGGCCGGTGCTTTAGCCACTGAACCGCGCCGGCCAGGGCAAGTCCATCCGGCCTGTTTCCACCCCTCCGCTCACCTTTCGACGCTGCTCATGGTCCCCTGGGAGGGCCCCTCTGGTACTGGCCTTGCTCTCATGCTCTGCGTCCATGGCCCTGGTCTTTAGAGTGGGCTCACCTGACGTCAGGGGGTCACCCTAGTCTTCAGCCCCGCCCTCGACTGTTAGTCACCCCTCGGTGGGCTCCGCCCACCTGCACACAGGCTCCGGGCCGGTGCGGTCCCACCGCACGAGCTGCCTGTCGCCTCTCGTCTGCCGTGTCTGCCCCTCAAGTGACCCGTCACCTTGTGGACAGACCCCCATCCTTTGGGGGCCTGGCTGCCTCTTGCCTTCACGCCCAGCTGGAAACTTAAGTCTGGCTCTTTTCTCCACCCTCCGGGCGCTTGTTTCCGTTCCTGCTGGTGGCAGCGAAGAGGGGCCGGGACTCTGCAGCTTTCCTCCCGGGGGCTTTACGCTAAGAAGGCTCGCGGCCAGCGGGGGTTCCCGGAGCTTCCGTGGGAGGAGCCCGTCTGCTGGGGGCCGGGCTGGCGTGTTTTTGTGTAAAGCAGCGAGTGAAAGCAAGATACCTGAGCTGCACCCCACAGGGCCTCTGTCCCCCTCGCCCCCGGGCGCCCTTCCGTTGGGCGCAGTGGCTGCAGTGTCTTTGGGGACGGGACCAAGGAGAGCTGAGAGGGGATGCCCGCGTTTGGTTAAGTGGGATGGATTCACGTGGCTCACAGGCACCCCGAGAGTGGATACACCCGCACTGGCCACCCTGCTAGAAACGGCATCCAGGACGGTCCGGCCGTGGGAGCGTCCATCCACCGGCGTCTCTGCGGTCACAGGGACCGGCCCCACGTGCCCGGCACCAGCAGTATCCAGGCAGGGGGTTAAAATCAGGTCTGGAGAGTACAGAGACAAAAGCTGGTCTGTGGAAAATTCTTCCCGTCCGCAGACGTGGGTGGAAGAGTCTGTTCTCGATGACGCCCCGTTGAAGTCAAAGCTCCGTCTCGCCAGGAACATCTGCTCGGGCGGCGAGGCGGTTATGCCCACAGCCTACTTTGCCCTGTTCTGGCATCAGTTTTGTGAAATAGGATTTGTCAGAATTCCCGTGACTGCGGGGCTCCCACCAGCAGAACAATATGGGCCGTGCGCGAGCAGGCCCGAGAAATCACGTTTTGGGCAACCCGAGTGTCCCTAAGAAACAGGTTTCTATAGAAAATGATGTTTTCGGAACCATCCTACGAAGGGTCCGTCAAGGTAACCCTAAAAATACAAGGTAACCCTGCAGCTAAAAATACAGGAAAAATATTGTAGAGGCGGGACAGTTAACGAAGATAAACGTTACGGGGCGTTGGAGCATTTGCTGAGTCACGCGCACGATGACTGTGTAACCGCTGAGGCGCCTGCGAACCATTCTCGTGGCAGTGGAAGCCTTTGACGTTCCCGCCACTCAGCCCTCGCAGCGCTTAGTTCCACTGACAGTAAATACAGACAGTCCTCCCCTGCTTTCCAGTCCGGACGCGCCGTATTCTCTTTGCTGCTTAACTTACCTGGTGGGTGGGGCTGAGCGCGTGGGTCTCCTTCGCTTGTGGCCCTTCACCTGTGGTCTGTGGGCTTTTCTATCTGGTGTGTTTTGTTGTTTTTGTGTGCGTGTGTTTGTTAATCTTCACACGGAGATATTTTTCCATTGATTTTTAGAGAGAGTGGAACGGAGGGAGGGAGGGATGGAGGGAAACATCAATGCGAGGGAGACGCATCAATTGCAGGGGATCAAACGAACCTGCAACCTGGTGCGTGCCCTTGACCGGGAATGGAACCCGGGGCCCCTCGGCGACACCGTCCGCTGAGCCCCACCGGCCAAGGCTCGCTCGGGTGTTTGTCGCTAGTCTCTGGGTCATGCGAGTCGGTGTGAGTCCCTGGCGTCAGTTCCCCTTTCCCTGCCTTCCCGTAGTTTTCCCGGATGTCCTCCCGATGGTTCCCAGAGCCGGGATCTAAGGGCTGGGGTGCCCGACGCGCAGTTAAAAGCTCAGCTCCCGTCCGCGGTGATTCTCGGGCCTCCGAACCAGGGCAAGGACCGTCACAAAGGCTGTGACCTGGGGGGGACGTTGGCGGTGCTGGCTCCGCCGCCTAACTTGGGACACTCGCTTTCCAGTCGCATCCCCCCAGTCGCGCGCCAAGGTTCTTGTCGAAATCTGGCCGAAAGGTTTCGTCTTCCCTAGTGACCGGCAGCTGTCCTGCCAATACACCGGCAGGCGCTGCGTTTTTATGTTTTTAACAGACGGACTTAGAACCGACACGACTTGGGCAGCGTGGAATAAGTAAGTTGTAGGTAGGTGAAGAAGTTCTATTTCCCAGGTGTTAAGAGTTTTCACAAGCGAACTGCATTCCTTTGGGCAACACGTTTTCTCAGCGCTTCGCCCGCGGTCCTGTTTTGACGCGTAAGGAGCTCCCTCTAGAGGCGAGAAGCAGGTCAGCGCCGGGGTGGCCGGCGCTTCTGCCTGGAACAGTCAGGTTTTGTTTTTTTTGGTTTTTTATTTTTATTTTTATTTTTATTATTATTTTAAATATATCTTTTTTATTGATTTCAGAGAGAAGAAAGGAGAGGGAGAGAAAGATCGAGCCCACAACCTGAGCATGTGCCCCGACCGGGAATCGAACCCTGATCTGGATCCTAGGTCGACCCTCAACCGCTGAGCCACGCCCGGCTGGGCGGTTTTTTTGGTTTTTTAAAAAAATATATCTTTATTGATTTTAGAGAGAGGAAGGGAGAGGGAGAGAGAGAAACATCAATGATGAGAGTGTCATTGATCAGCTGCCTCCTGCACGCCCCCGACTGCAGATCGAGCCCGCCACCCGGGCATGTGCCCCGACCGGGAATCGAACTCCGATCGCTTGGATCCTAAGTTGACACTCAACCGCTGAGCCACGCGCAGCTGGGCCAGGTTTTGTCTTTGGAGAGAGAGAGGGAGGGAGAGAGGGAGGGAGGGACATCGATTTGCTGTTCCACTTCTTTGTGCATCGTGGGTTGACCCCTGTGCGCGCCCTGACTAAGGACTGAACCCGAGACCTTGGTGTATCGAGATGGCCCGCTAGCTGGCCAGGGCCGGGCCAGGTTTTCTTGCAGGAACTTTCTTACGCACTTAGCCACGTTGGTGGGGCTTAGCGTTGGTAAAGCTGGTGCGATCCGTAAGGCTTTTGTCGGTGCACAGAAACACAGATGGCCGTCTGCCCCGCTTCACACTTCATTTGTGAGTTCGTCTCCCTCTCTGGAATGGGACCTCCCTGCATATAGGGACTTTGCCTGTCTTACTCTTTGCTTTAACAAACACCTATAACGGTACCTGGTGCATAGTTGGCGTTTAATGCTTTCGGATGAATGAATGGACCTCTGAACCAAAGTTCGCAGCCTGGCGTTGCTTGGAATCCACGACGAGGCCCTGTGGCCCAGGACTGAGTGGCCTGTGCTCAGGGGGATTTACTGAACTGGCTTAAACCACACTGACGCACTCAGCACTTTTACTGAGCACCCACCCATGCTGCCCAATGTTGTGGGGCTGGCAGTCCAGCAGGGAAAAAGTAGGCAGGAGTCCTGCCTGCCCTTGCGGCACAATTATTTAGAGCGTGTTTAGATGGTGATGTTTGTTACGGAGAAAAACTGAGCAGAGAAGACGGAGCATGCTGGGTGGCTCAGTCGGTTAGAGCATCGTCCTGGTACGCCAAGGTTGTGGGTTCGATCTCCCTCCAGGGCACATACAAGAAGCGATCAATAGTGTGTGAAAAAGTGGAATTGCAAGTTGATGTTCCTCTCTCTCTCTCTCTCAAATCACTAAATAAAAATATTTAAATAAGTAAATAAACAAAAGAGGTTCTTCCGAAAGAATCACAATTTAAGGCAGTCGACCAAAGAGGATTTAAAAGATACAACCCCAAACGTGTTGCGACACCATCTCAACCGATGTAGATAAACATTTAAAGAGGAAATAACACCTCCCGAGGAGTTTACCTCCCCTGGCGTGAATCCAGTGGGCATCAGCCAACTAAGCAGCAACCCGAGGGCAAGGGGAGAAGAGAGAAACATCCCGACTTTCTAAAGAAGGAACGTTTTAAGCACAGACTCGTGAACGCACGCCAAGTCTCAGCGGTGTGGCCCTCGCTGGTCTGGCTCAGCGGTTAGAGTCGGCCCTTGGACTGAAGGGTCCCGGGTTTGATTCTGGCCAAGGGCACCTACCTGGGTCGTAGGCTCGACAGCTGGTCCCGGCCAGGGTGTGTGCAGGAGGCAGCCAATGGATAGGTTTTTTTTTCACTCTCTGAAAAAGCAATGAAAAACAAATGTCCTCGGGTGAGGCTAATATATACATATATTGTTAATGTGCAATGGTGCTCAACCACTGAGCCACGCCCGGCTGGGCTGTAATTATTTTTTCTAAGTTTTCAATTTCTTGGTCTCTTTCTTCCCCTTCTGGCACTCCAA